TGTCCTGGAACTAGCTCTTGTAGACCAGGCTGGCCTTGAACTCAGAGATCCCTGTCTCTGCCTCCAGAGTGCTGGGATCAAAGGCGTGCGCCACCACTGCCTGGACTAAAAATAACTTTCAAAATACACATATGATGTTTTTTAACTATTACTGCACATACGATGGGTTCTTGGCACAAGCCTCACTCATGAGCTGTGGTTGTGGAAGGACAGGCTAAACCCTGAGGGCTGCCACCTAGCACAGGACCAATATTGTCCTTGGGTCTCACCTTTCAGTACAAGATCTTGTTGCACGGCTGTTGGTATGGTCTGTTTGGAGGAAACCCTGATAACTCTCCAACTGAACTGGACGAGGCCAACCAGAGAGCCCTGACTCAGCCTCTTCTTGGGGAGGAGAGCCTGCTGACTCGATGCTCCCCAGGCTACAGCTCCAGCGACTCCCCACTGGATTCTCCCACCAAATACCCACCTCTGTACCCACCTGGCAGGATCATCCACCTGGAAGAAGAGAGTGGTTCAGGGAGGTGAGTGGAGGGAGTCACGTGGGTCTCCACGCTCATCCGCTGAGGGTGGCCAGAAGCCCGGCTCAAGGGCAGCATCACTAGCCCATGTTCTCTTTTGTTCAAGGTTTGGCTGCTGTTCTGCTGCCCGGTACAGAGCAAGGTGGGCACATGAAGCAGAATTTGGCAAGATCCTGATAGGCCCAAAGATGCTGACTGACCACCTGCCTAACATCGTCAATCAGGCGCTGGACAGAGTAGTCGCGGACAGAACAGCCTGTGTCTCCTGCCCGGGACAAGGTGGCCCTCCTGCAGCTGTGGCCTAACCCCGCTTGTGGACACTGCCCAGCACAATGGGCTTGCACTCCCTTCCCTTTAGACTGACTGAATGAGTGGCTTCTGTGAGGCTGGTGTGGTGGTTCCCATTAACAGTAAGCTGGTGGGTCCCTGTAGAATGGGCAACAGTATGACCATACAATTCAGAGAAACTTTTTTCTTAAGACAGGGTTTCTATGGAGCCCTGGCTGTTCTGGAATTCCATCTGGAAGACCAGGCCAGCCTCAAACTCAGAGATCCAACTGCCTGGGATTAAAGGCATGTGCCGCCACCACCAACCTATAAAACCATTTTTAACCACAGTATTACTAGATCAGGAGTCGGGAACACGCAGAGGTGTTAGGACTTCTGGGACAGTTTGTGGAGCAAGCCTCCTTTAGCCACCTGAGAACTCCACATATGAAGACCCTCAGTGAATCTCTAGCACTTCAATCCCTGCCAGGACCCCATCCCGCTGTTTACAAGAGTCTGACTCTAAGCCGACAGGTGTGCACTTTATCTTCTTCGCCGGCATTCGTGCGGCACTAAGGGCAGCCGGAGCGTCCTGAGCCCACTGTGGCTCCATTTGTACAACATGAACTGACTGCTTAACTTTCACGTATGCGCTTAATTCTCACAGTAGTCTAGCTCTGGAGCCAGGTGTTGGGCTCAGGGAGGATTTTTTAAAATAAAGTAATTGATACACCATCAGTGAGTGCACGGGAAGGTCTGTGTTACTGGGGGACAGGAATTCCCTGCATTAGCCTCTTGGAGCTGACATGGACCACTGTACCTAGGTAGCAATGAGAGTTTTGCCTTTATGGAAAATCCAGTTGTTTGTAACTCTGGCTACTGAGACCTGCACATATTCCAAATACAAAAAGTCCACTAAGTCCAGAAAACAAAGATGCCAAGTGTGTTGGTGACTCGAGCTGTTTTCCCAGCACTTAGATGGGGGGCAGGAGAACCAGGAACTGGAGGTCACACTTAGCTACTTAACAATATGCTAACTCAAGATGCTGACTCCAAACAAAACCCCAAAAGGGGGCTAGAAAGACTAAAGGGAAAACTTCCAAGATATATTAATGTAAATACAGCTGCCAAGTACAGTGGCACAAACCTTTAATCCCAATACTCTGAGCAGAGGTAGGCCATTTTCTGAGCTCAAGGTCTGCATAGTTCTAGGCCAAAAAACCATAGTGAACACCCTGTCTCAAAAGAGTACACACCCTAGTTACAGCAAAAAAAAAAAAAAAAATCAAGGAAAGAAATATCTTTGGTCAGAAATCTTAAGGGGCTGGGCATAGTGGCACACACCTTTAATCTCGGCAGTTGGGAGGCACATGCAACAGGCAGGCAGTACCTGTGAGGCCAGCCTGATCAACAGAGTGAGTTCCAGTACAACCAGAGCTATATGAGACCCCCATCCCAAAGAACAGAAATAACCCAAAACCGAAACCCCAAGGAAATCCCAGTAATTTCGACCCAGAGAGTATCGCCCAGCAGAATGGCTTCTGTTGAGATGAAGGCCCTCAGAGACAAAATGAGAGAAATTAGACTGTGGAGTTGTGTGGGATACAGAGATTTGGTGGCCAGATGATCCGGAGACGTGGCAAAATGCAAACTGATCAAAATAAAGTATCTTAGGATTCAACAGAAGGGCCAGAGATGACCTGGTCAGTAGTCTCACTTGAGGACGTAAGTTCAAACCGCTGGAGAGGGAGACAGGAAGGCCTCTAGGGCATCCGACAGGTGAACCCCAGCAGGTTCGGTGACAGAGCCTGTCTTCAGAAAAACGGAGCATCACCTGGGGCTGGTCTTTACAGACGTGTGCACACACACTTTAAATTTCAGATTTCAATATGCCAGGAAGTTTAGTCAAACTCTTCACAAATAAAAAGATTTAAGAATTACCCTAAGGAGGGCTGGAGAGGTGGCTCAGTGGTTAAGAGCATTGCCTGCTCTTCCAAAGGTCATGAGTTCAATTCCCAGCAACCACATGGTGGCTCACAACCATCTGTAAAGAGGTCTGGTGCCCTCTTCTGGCCTGCAGACATACACACAGATAGAATATTGTATAC